AAATATCAGCAAACAACCTTAATGATAAAAAATACAATAATGGCAAATTTAATCAAAAGCACCTTCAAGAGAGCATGTTGCAATAAAAATAATTATGGAAAGCCCAAGCCAATCCAGTGTGACAACACTCAACCACTTATTTATCTTAATCTGTAGTTTGTGGTTTTGAGGTTTGCTCTTATGTTCTGAACTTTAATGGTGATAAAAGGTTACAGAATTAACCAGAAAGATTTTTCAAATTTATTTGTTTCATGAAAATGGATTTATCAAGAATCCATATCAACTCCATTAGAAGGAGAAGTTTCCAGTATTTCCTTTATAGTTAACTCGGTCCTTTATATGAGCAATTTGTACAAAAATACAGTTGAACCTCCGCTAATGGCCACATCTCTTACAACAGCCACCTCTTTACATGCAATGGCTACTTTCTTCTGTCCCCAAGACGGTCGTTGTAGAGAAGTTCAACTGTATTCAGTTATCAAATTATCTATGGTGCTCTGCATTATTCCACAGTGAAACTGCTATCAAGCGGACTCCCAATTAAGCGGACACCCTCTTTTAAGCGGACACTAAGCCGGATCCCGAAATTAACATCTTATATTTCCCTTTATAATGAACCCCTATTCGGTGGACACCTCTATTAAGCAGAAACGGACACTAAAATAAATTGTACTTGGCTAATTTCTATTGTTAAAAACCTCTGTTAAGCGGACACTAGACTGAATTAACAATACTAGTATTGAATTACGTCCTTGAAATACGAACTGTAGTCGATTAATAAGGATAAATCAATAAATTTAACTGTCAATAAACTGTAGATTAGACTGATATCCGGCGGTATGATTGTCATCCGCCATCAAAGTTGACCTAAAAGTTCTTTGGAACTTTATCACAAATGTTGTGCAATTTTTACAAACTCTATTAAATGGACACCCTCTATTAAGCAGACACTTGGGAAGGTCCCGAAGATGTCTGCTTAATAGAGGTGTCACTGTTTTGCATTACTTTGCTTTTGAGGATTGAACATTTTGCCTTCAGTGCTAACTTACCTCCACTTCTTTGCATTGCAATCTAAATTGCTCCTGAGAAAAAAATGAGCTAGTGTCAAGGTTTTATAAATTTAAAGGCAAATTTGAAGGCTGTATATAGTTTACTAGATTATCTTGTGTTAGCAATAAACATTTTAACTGAGTATTGCATATTTAATTTCCAAGGGAAAAATCAACGTAACGCTTTCTCTGTTGCCCGCAAAAAAAGATGAACTGAAGAAATGGAGACCCATATTTACTTTTACTATTTTTTTGACTTCAGGAAAGGTAACAAATTATTTAAGCTTTAGTCCTCCATTGGGAAAATTCCAATAAGACATGTACTAGTCCAATGGTCGGTAGCTCATTTAGCTCCAGGCTCTTGAATGGCACCTTAATTTATTGCACCCAGAGACTTTACAATACAGACACCTTGCATTTGACCCACTCTTTTGACACAATCTGACAAAGAGCAATTTAACTATGTGTTAGGAAAAGTTCATACCCTTGTAGCCAAGCAAAAATAATACTTCCTACCATACCAGTGCCACCTAAAAATAAAACAAACCAATACATTCATAAGGCAAAGGAAACTAATTTTAAAATACTTTTCATGCAAGTAATAGGTTGGAAGTTTATGAATACTGTCGGTATTTTATATGTTAATAATTTTTTTACAGCTGAATTCCATTAAAACTTTTATTGGTCACGAGCACCTCAATACTGAGTAACACATTATATCATATGTAATGAACTAAGTTTCTAAAATCTCACTTTTTAAATGTGACTAAAATAATGTAATTTTGGCAAAGTTAACCATGAAGCAACGCTGGTCAGCAGTTTCCCCAGCTATACTAGAGGTGGCCCGATGCCTCTAGCAGGGGCACCTCGTGACTTATATATGCAGTTGCTTGCTTGCAGTTCTTCGCAAAGTGTTTTTGCAATAGCTGATAAAAACTCACTTCTCAGGATCCATGTCATAGTTGCTGCCAGGGCAGTGGCTTTTTCATCTCCAACACCATACCCTTTCAACATTGCTTGGGTTGCAAGGGTTCCAGTTATTGACGAACAGAATGCCTTGATAGAGTGATAGACAACAATGACTACATTCATTTAATGCTGATCAGTGGACAGTAATCATGGGAGGGTGCCTAGTGATAAGAAGGAGGGAGGGGTGGGTGGATACACTTGCGGCTACATGCCATTTAGCATATTTAAACTCAAGACATTAATGGTTTGCAGTTTCACATTTGTAATCTGCTTTAGTCATTTGGAATTTCAGCTACAGCTCTCCTTAAAATGTCAACCATTTTGCTCTACTTGCTACGCAAAGTAAGCTCTTTTCTCCCTGTCTATCCCTCCTCAGATAAATATATGATAACTATTTTTGCCAGTGGTCACAACAATATTATGGCGATCTAATAGTTAACAAATTGAATTTCAGATCTCAAGGTCTTGGTTCAAGCACTGCCAGCCAGTCACTCTCAGCTCTGCCTTAAGGTGCAACATACTGCTGGGGAGGAGGAGGGGGGGTAATCCGGTCATGGATAGGGTTGTCATGGTTACTGTCTGCACTTGGAAGGCAACTGCTCAATTATAGTGGATCTCCAATGGGGTTCTTCAATCCCGTCATCCTGACTCAAATTTTTGCTCGATCTCATAATCCTGATTGCTCTTTTCAGCATCCCACTTGTCGTGCATACTTTCAACAACAAATCTTACCCCCATTTTTGCTTTAAAATCCACACCTCCACTTTCAAATAGGGCAAATCCAGGATCCCTAAAAGGCTACTGAGGACTCTTTTCATAGTGTAGCTTACCTGAATAGTGTCCCATACTTGATACTCTAAGTAGTCTTTGCTGACACTCTCAGGGTAGCCTTGTGGAAGGAAAGCAGACTGCAAAAGATGCAATATGTCACCCGTGTATAGAGTATAGGTGTAGTATAGGGTAACAAAATTTAGCTGAACTAGATCTGGTATAGGCTAAGGGATCTAGGGTCCCAACGACGCACCCACACCCATCAAATTCCTAAAGTATCCCGCCACCCCAATATCATGGTAAGTGAACCTGGATTTTCACTAATAATCCTTTCAAGAACTCGGCTCTTTGGGCAACATGTGCACTCCAACTCACAGTCTTGAGAGAGAAAGATTCAACTAATTGGGTTGATGAGTACTCTCAAAATCAGAAGAGAAGGGGCGGGGGTGGGGGGAAGTCGCCCTATTTCAAAGCTGGAAATTAGTACAGTGAGCCCTGATGAATGCCATGGAAAGTTACCTTAAAGAATTGCTTTACAGAAGTAGCTACAGTTTCCCTCTTCCTTCCTATCCTTTCTAAGTTTCCATTTTCCGCAGAGAACCTATATTTCCTCTCCAGATTTCCCGATCCATATTTTTCCCCCGCAACGACAAACTCCTCCATCTTGTCCGCCATCTTGTCCGCCATCTTGCCACGGTGCAATGGGATAAACCGCTGCCAAAAATTGAGCTCGCTCCAGTCTCTTTTCATTTTTTAATATGGCGGATTGGGCACAGCCATGTATTGTAGATCGAAATTTTCGGTGAGAGTTCAAAGATTCTTTAAGAACTTTAATTCGAGTGCTTTTTATCATAATGCGATGGAACTTAAAGAGGTTGTAACAAAGTTAAATATCTTCGCACCCTTACAACTGGCAGAGAAATGGGACAACGTGGGGTTGCTGGTCGAACCTTCCCCTCCACATTCTGTCAAATCTATTCTTCTCACCAACGACCTTACCGAAAGAGTGGTTCAAGAGGCAGTCGATAAAAAAGTCAGCATGGTGATATCTTATCATCCACCTATTTTTGTCCCTTTGAAACGCCTCACATCTAAGACCTTTAAGGAGAGAATCATTATAAAAATGATAGAGAACAGGATCGCTGTGTTTTCTCCACACACAGCATTTGATGCTGTGAAGAATGGCGTGAACGACTGGCTCGCAGCAGGCCTTGGAAGTGCAGAAGTAGATCCACTAGAACATTCAAAAGACCAGAGTTCAGGTGTGAAAGTAGAGGCAAGGATATTGACCAATCAGGTGCCTGATCAGATTACTAGTGTGCAAGACAAACTCAAAGACCTTCAAGGTGTTGAGAGAATTGAAGTTGAAACTTTGATGAGGTTAGTCAAGGTAGGGTAATGTGCAGTTGGGAGTTACTCCCTTGAATTTCCCATGGGAGTGTCCTGATGGTTCTCTATTGCTGGTTTGCACGTGACATCATGGCGGCCATGTTGATGGTCAAGAACAAAAGTATTTCTCTCTTCTGCGAACAAAACTCTATTTTCATGTACATTACTCAAGAAAAAATCTGTTGTATTGATCCCCAACATGGCCGCGTTCAGTTGTCACATGGTTGCAAACCAAGAATACCTGGCAAAGGTGGCAACTTTCCATCCCAGCGGCTTCTGAACATTCTGATAATTTGCGGAAGACTTCTGAACATTGCCAAAAATGTCCAAATATTCTCCGATGACCTTTGAGCACTTCAAAAGCTATTTCAAAGGTGACAATTTTAGTATGTTGTGATACAGTTACAACCCCCCAAGTTAGAAATGTTTGTTCAGTGGCCATTTGGTGATCAGCTCTTTGGGTTTAGTCACAAGGGAAAATTTTTGGCCGCCAAATTATATTGATAAATTAATATATCACAATTGTCATTAACAAAAGCAGTTAAGCAAGTTTAACTTTAAATGCAGCACTGTCTATAAATTACTCATTTATTTTGCAAGACATTATTTACTGATAGTCTGAGAATAAGGTTTGCAGATTCAGGCCCGGCCAGCGGGGGTAGTGGGATACCAATATACCAGCTATTTTGCCCCCAAGATACCAATATACTTCAAAATCGTAAAATGTGTGATACTAAATACCTAAAATTATTTTGAAACAGAATACTAAAAAACCTGAAAATGAACAAGTCAGATCTTAATAAAAGAGGAACTCCTGGTTCACTGTCCTCTTCTGCTTCCTTTGCGGTCGGCCAGCGTCCATGGTGATCAAATCGTCACCTTGTCCATCAACGCTGACTCTACAACTAGGTTCTTCATCAGCTTCATTGGGAGAGGTGGTGTCAGTGGATCCGCTTACCAAGGCCAGGAGCAGATAGTACTCCCCCTCATCTATTTCAATAGTTTCTGATTGTCAACAACTGTAGTGCTGCTTACAACCCCCTTTATGATCGACTTGCCACATCTTGGGTGTAACAAAGAGTTGTTACATAACGAGCACTGTCATAGTCATCAACCACATATACAGTAGGCTGTTTGGAGCAGAACTCGGTTTGTATATTCAGGAAACTACAACATACGTAGACTGGGCGATGACAATGTTACGTGCTGTGGTGGTATCTTGGTGTTGAACGGGGATGTCTTCATTGATAAGCACGTCAAAGTCAACTGAATGTTGCTGCTGGGGTGCAGACTTGTAAAGGTTCGATGGCAAGGTGCCTGGCTTGTCTTTTGTTGAAACATTCCTTGTGGTATTCTGTCTGACACTCTTACCGTACTGCTGTACCCACTGACGGATCTCATCCAAATGCTTCTTGGATAAGCAACCAGGCAAAGGCTTTGGTAATTCTGCAAGGTCGCAGAAGTTTATATCAACATCACCTAAAGAAGGCTGAAGGTAGTGCGAGGGCACTGGATTTGTAAAGTACCTGTAACTGGTACCTGTGACATGTTTTAATAATTTGTTAATACATCAGGAAAAACGCAAGCAAAAGTCGAGCATCATGGGAGTGTCCGTGTTACCTCCTCTCATACTGGAAAAGAAGTTTTCAATAAAGAGAGTTAAAAGGCTTTCAACGTCTAAGTGTTGAATGAAGTTTGGATTGAGTTCCATCACCTTTGTCCTCAGTCTAGAGAGGCCTTCCAGTATCATCTTCACGGAGTTCAGTGTAGTAGCAGAGAGTGTTCGGTCTGGTCCTTGGGTCTTGGAGGTTGAGCCCGGCTTTATACCCTGAACTTTCAACGAGGCTTCTTCATGAAAAGTGTAGTAATTCTGGACGCGGGTAACTGTCTTATCAAAACTTAACCTTGTGGTTGTCCCAGTCAGTTTGAAGGCTGACAGAAAGAGCCAGTAAAGGTCTTGTAAGTATTTGATTAGGGCTTGAACACAATTTCGAGCATCCGCACTATTTCAAGTGAGCATTAGAGCGACAATAAAACTGAGAAATGAATTATACATTTCTCAGTGATTTCTGTACCATATACCGAATACCTAAAATTCAGGAAAAACTGAATACTTTATGCCCGAATTTTGACCAAAAAATACCATATACCTGAATTAAAATGGCCCGGGATACCGTATACCCAAAAACCCCTGGCTGGGCCTGCAGATTCATCTCCTTGAATCAATACTGAAACGGAATTGTAAAGCCAATTACCATTTCCAGTTGTCTTTAGGGCCTTCAATCCTTCTGTATAATCCTCAGTTGGTGTATGAGAGCAGAACTAAACTCATCCTCTGTTAATGTGTTCAAAATTTCCCAGTCGCAACTTGAAAGGTGACCTATTTTTTTCTGATATTTGTTTCGCATTTGTTTCAAGACTTTTGTTGATGATGAACTTGTTTCCCCAACTAACAAATATTTTTGAAGGTTTAAAAGGTCATTGTTAATATCGCTAGACGTTGTGAAAGCCTGATAAAGGCAGGAGAGTATAGGAAGATCAGCAAGTCTTATAAATCAAATCATTGCTTTATAGAGATAACATCGCGCACGTGAAAATTTTGCAACAAGTTCTACTGGGAAAAAATGTTTTCCCCAATCTATTGAAAGGGACCCAAACAAAAATGCCACTTATGAAATAATAAATTTTCTTTTTCCTTTATCATCGCTACAGGTGTTTAACAAATTTTTGCAACAACCAAAAGCTGTCATTTTTGCGATGTTTAGTTTTGTTTACAATACTTTTATTATCGCTTTTGTTTAAAAAACTGCGATTCAACTCGCAGCTCGGTTCTCATGTTACGGTTATTACACCATGTTCTGTGTTGACTTTGCAGCAATTTAGCTTTCCCTCTTCATGTTAGTAGATTGTTTATTGATTCAAAAGTCTGTATAATATGTAGTCCAGTTAAGAAACCACCGAACTTGGCCAGACAAGCATACCCAAGATATCAAAGAAATTGACACTGTTGACAAGCAAGGCACTTCAATTGTGTGGCATTTGTCATGTTTCAAAAGTTAAAATGTCATGTGCAAGGCAACAGACACTGTGGAGGCGAATGAATGCAGGCCAAGTTTCATTGATGTTCATTTCAAAATGCTTATCTCTCTGAGTTCTCAATTTAGCATGTTTTTCAACAGAAAAGTAAAAAAGTAATAGAAATCAAATCAGTTAGAATAAATGTTCTTCATATTTCAGTAGAAGTGATTACCATTTCTGTTTCTATACGCCATAACACGAACCTATTCTTCACAGTCGCCAACTTGGCGACTATCCTCCAAATCAAGTCGCCAGTTCCAAAATTTTAGGCGCCATTGCGACTAAAATGGTCGCAACTTGGAGGGTTGAGTTACATCACAAAGTCAGCATTAAGCCTCTTTTTGTAATATTTTTGCGGAAAAGTTGTCTTTTAAAAATCTGCAAAAATCTTCTTTGGATTTAAAGATCTTATCATTGCTTTTATAGACCACAAGGACTGACTGAACAACAACTGTCTTTGCACTGTTCTGAGAGTGGGCTTGTTGACACCCTTCAGACGCTGACATCTTTGCTCCCTGAAGCTCTTGGAAAAGTAGAGGTTGTTCCTCTTGCACAGGTAAAAAATATTATGATTTTTGTAGTTTTAAAAACAACTAACAGAGTTTAGATCTTTGAAGTTATGATCATTATCACGGTTGTCACTAAGATTTTAAGTTGCCGGGTAATCAAATACATCAAGTAGGTGGGGAATCAAACAGCTAGGGATTTATTTTGGTTCTATTTTTCTTCTGTTTTCCTTTGAAAGTAGCCGAGGGCCATGTTTATAGTAGCTAGGGGGAAATCCATGGCCCTTGCCTCTTAATGACAGCCCTGATTATAGACTTCCCACCAATATTAACTTTATAGGTTAAGTTTATGTAATAGGTGAAACATCTCCTCACCATGGGTAAATATGACAACATCTGAGTGCCAGGTTGCAATGTTAATTATTATTAATTGCATTAATTTTATTAATTTATTTAATGGATTTGACACCAAACCTTAAACCTCTACTGTCCCAATGTATTTCCACACTGCTCCAATATATTTTCAGTGGCCCAATATGTTCCCATTGGCCCAATACATTCCCTGGCCATCTGAGTTGTGAACCTTACCAACCGGCATTTCATAAACTCACTAGAGCATCAAAATCTCCTCTCTCTAGATTCCAATACTGGGTACTGGCCAAGGTCGCCTTTGCACCCTGCATTCACCAGTTACTCTCTCAGAGTTAATCAGCCGTATCAAAAACCACCTTAATCTCAAACATATACGCTTAGCTACTGCCCATTGTAGCACATCAGAAGATCCACTCCAAAGTTCCGTCCAAACTATTGCACTGTGCGCAGGTTCAGGAGCAAGTGTACTGCGTGGGAAACAAGCTGATGTATACCTTACAGGTGAAATGTCACATCATGACGTCCTTGATGCAGTGTCACGTGGTGTGCACGTGATCTTATGTGAACACAGCAATACAGAGCGTGGTTTTCTTACAGAATTTAGAGGCAAATTGGTTGAATTGTTAGAGGGAAAGGTTGATGTCATGGTTTCCTCAAACGATACTGATCCTCTCCAAATTTTATAGACAATTATCTCTTGTACTGAGTTAGCTTGAGGTACAATCTACATGAACCAGCTTTCCTTCAAANTCCTTGATGCAGTGTCACGTGGTGTGCACGTGATCTTATGTGAACACAGCAATACAGAGCGTGGTTTTCTTACAGAATTTAGAGGCAAATTGGTTGAATTGTTAGAGGGAAAGGTTGATGTCATGGTTTCCTCAAACGATACTGATCCTCTCCAAATTTTATAGACAATTATCTCTTGTACTGAGTTAGCTTGAGGTACAATCTACATGAACCAGCTTTCCTTCAAATGACTTCAAGAACCACAGGGAAATGCTTGAAGAAGTTGCTTCAAATTTCCAATTTTTAGCAGAAAACATGTCACTGGCATATGGTACTACAGTCTACTTTACCTAATCCATTTGAAATAATATTATGTATTATGACGTGGGAGTCGTTGCTAGTCAAAAAACCTACTCCATCTGGAGCACTCTGAGTCCAGTTTGATCATTTTAAAACACTTGACCTACTTGCAGAGCAACACAGAGATACATGTAATCACTTCGTTTTCTATAGTATCAAGAGAATGAACAGATTTCTTCTTATATGAAGGCTAAGAATCATCCAGCCTTTCAGGATAGGATAAGCTTAACCAAGGCTGGGACTGGTCAAAAGTTTATTAAAAGAGTAATAACGTGCATCTGGGCTGAGATTTCAGTATATAAAAAAGGTTACACTACATAACTGGTTACACTGGCCCCTTCCGGAATTTTGATAGTCTTTGTTTGTAGTTCTTAACAAATTCTTGTTTAAAAATAAACCAAATTTTCTCTCTTTTCTTTTCTTTCGGGTTATAAACACATTTTTCAAATATTAGATAACAAAAACTTTTAATAGGCCAAATCTTGCTCGGATCTGAGAACATGAAAATTTGCCCGGGCAGGTACCTTAAGTCTTATTCAAGGCATAAAAAGAAAGCAGCGTAGCATATGAAAGGAAAAATAGCAAAAAATGGAGAGAAATATCAAAATGATAGTATTAATTCCTTGTTTCGTGCCAGTTAGAATCTAAAAGTAAGTTTGTAACTTTTCTGTTACATAGTAACAATAATTTGACTAGAATGCTTACGAAAAGGAGCATTTTAAACAACTTCCCTGTTTTGCTGGAAAAACGATGTAAGAGGCCGTCAAGTAATTTTTCTTGCAGATTTGAAATCTGTCTACGAAATCACAACCATGTCTTACATACTCTTTAAGGGGGCTCTAAATCATTTTTTTTTCTGTTTTTTTTTTTTAGCCTTGAGTTCCCCGATTTCTTCTATATGAAAGGAATGAGAAGACTGATATTTCTGTCACTAAACCCACTGAGAAAGTGAAATCTAGCCCAGCTTTTATTAGTTAAGCAATTCAAGGGTAACCAGTTGAGAGACCGTAGTTGTGATTCCGACGAATATATATTCGATTATACTGTGTTCAAATACACTGTTCCTTGCTTTCTAACTGTTGTAATTTAATGTACAGGTTGTCGTTAAGATCACTGACAAGTCCCCATGCTGGTGGCCACGGAACGGTATCCAGCATGCTTGAAAAAGGCGTGTTATTTGTAGACAAGAGCCATTATGGCTCTTATTGTAGCAAACCTGTTTTTCAAGGAACCTGTACTCTTCTTTATTAGCGAACGGGTCAACAATATGTGTACATGCTGCATTCATTCATCACAATGAATGAAAAACACATCATAATCTCTACCCTTATAAATTATTAAACTGTTTAAGTCGTAGCTTAGGGAGTAACTATTTTTTGGCATGCGTTTGTTTTATGTTAGTAACTCAAGCACGGGACTATTACAGTTTTCGAAGAATGCCACAGTAGTTACAACTAGTTACAGCTGTATTCGCAAACATTGTTCGGAAATTTTTTCTCACGTATAATTTAAGTACCAGTCATTGTTCTTTTAAAAATAATGGAGGGAGAATATTATAGTCGTAAACGAGTAAATGACTTAGCATTTAAACTTGGGGGATTTAAACGGAGATTTGAAGGTATATATGTTTGCAAAACTTTGCAGGGTTTGATTGAAAGAACTTTACCTCCTCACATAAAATGAGGGAGAATTTAAAGTCACTAAGGGAGACCGTCCTCGGCGAGATTGAAGAAGAATTAAGATTTTATCAACTAAGATTAAGTAAACTGGTCATCGTTCGGTGGCCGATTCTTCTACAGTACGTGGCCAACAACGACTGGATAGACTATAATGGGGTCGCATTTTCAATAGAGTTACTAGAATGGGGTCGCACATTTTCGAATTTTTTGGGGTAAGACAGTTCTTCATACTTATGGTTAGCAAACGTACCAGAATGTTTTTACTGGAGATGAAAGGTAAAGTGTTCTTCATTCAAGATAAAAAATGCGTCAATTCATAGAGATAGAAATTGACTAAGTTGGGATCGCGAAAATTAAATATTTGTCCAAAAGTGACTAAGATGGGGTCTATAATTGGCCACAGAATAGACTATAATGGGGTAGGGGCTAAGGGAGAGGCCAGCCACACAAACCCAGCAAAAATTAACTCAAGTACCTCCCCCTCCTCTGGATTTAAGATAGTACGGATTTTTGAAACCTCTTTCACATTCAGGTAAGGGTTCGCTGACGGTTTACCAGCATTGAGAGCTGTACTGAGGAAAATATACTGGACGGGCAATAACTTTATCTTTATAATCCTTTGAATTGAGGCCTTAGTTCTGAGTCCGTTATAAGAAGGATTTCAGAGAAGAGTTTTTAGAAACTGTTTGAGTATGAATAGCCTGCTTGCAAAGTAATGGGCGCAAGAAAGAACGAGGCGCGCGAGGGAGACACGCGAGGGTAGAGCTGTCTCTCCCTTCGCGTGTCTCCCTCGCGTCCATTACTAGGGAGCTTTAGCATCGACGACGGCAACGGCAACGAAAACGTCAGTTTTAAAATGAATTCCCGCGTTTATTCCAATTTGCTGAAAATAGCAAGTGTAGGCGCATTTCCCTGGAGTTGATTTCTTGAGAACCGCACTCAAGTGTAGAGAGAGAAAAAGAGATTCGTCGTCGCTTGTTTACTCCTCCATAAAACTTGCAATTAGGCATTTTCACCTCGTAGTCGTGCAAGGACGGTAAAGAAATGTACAAAAAAGCGTGATGCATGTGCAAAGTTGTTGGTTTGCGTAATGAACCTATTGCTTTTTTGACGTCCTCGTTGCCGTTGCCGTCGCGGTCGCCGTCGTCGTTGCTAAAGCTCCCTACTTTCCAAGCGCCTGCTACGCCGGCTAGATTATGAGTAAGCTCATGGTCCCATTTCTTCCTCAAGGAGGGCTCGTTATTTGGGAATGAAAATATAACTTCCGCTATTAGGGATTCTCTTTGTTGAAAGCAGCACGAAATCAATCTTCTGACGGTACATGCATGTACTCATTACATTGCGGGTCAGATAAACTACAGGAGACTAAAGAAAGCGTGTTTCCTTACAAGTACAGGAGATGTACAAGTAAACCTCATGTGTTTCTAATCTGACCTTCGGAGTTTTTGCCAGTTTTCTCGTGCCAACATCAACAGTTCTTGTGGCACTATTTACCCCAAGCACGTGTGAACAGGTGTATCTGGTCAAAAACTAACGCGTGCATGAAAATACCACCGACACCTAATGTATTACAACGATAACCAAGTGTGTGAGTCACTGTTTGAGGCAACAGGGGATGATCCGCACTTGTAACAAAAAATAAAATCATAGGCACTCCTTAAAACTATTTCATTTGATCCTAATTTTAACTCTGAGTTTCGAGTCGTAAATCAAATGCAGCGGAGTTTGCAGGAATGTTGATTTGGCGGACTGGAATAGACAGTGAGCGGTGAAACTGAATAAATGCTATCAAAGCTGCTTTTCAAGGGAAATTATAAAACCACTTTCAATTAAAACGTACTCTCGTTCATTATTTTTTTTTAATTTGTACATCCGAAAACAGCATTATTTGCTAATACTTTTATAGACTCTATAACCTCATGCTCCCCCAGGCAAAAGCCAACTCCCAATGCACCTCCCCACACACTTCAGTTAGAATTAAAGTTATTGTTTTGGAGAATTCTCTAAGGGCCAATTTCATCAAATCTGATATATTCATTAAAAGCAATTAAGAAAACCCCCAGCCTGGCTTCGGTCCTCAAACGAGGAAACAAAGGTCACATGGAATTTGCGAGGGGAGTAAATACTTTCCCAGGCGAAACAACAACATTTATGCACAAAGGAGTTGTTTTCGAGACACAGGGCGGATTGACTGCCACTATAGGTGTATACACTTGTCGCATTTAAGTAGGCGGTACCTGTTTCTTATGAACGTGCCGTCCGATTTTTAATCATAAGTAATGCCATATTGCTCGACTATAGACACGATCGAGTAAAACGCGAACCCACATTTTCAACTTTACTGTTTAATAAAACTGCTACAGAGTTTTTATCTCAACTTTCTGCTAGCTTTGGCGAAATCTAGGCCACGTGGAGTAATTACATCTCAAACATAAGTCATTAAAGAGTGTTATCTCTTCCTGCGGGTAATAAAAGACTTCTTATCGTTGCCGAGCACGTGACCGCTTGCGGCAGAAAATGGCACGCTTGTACCAGCGAAAGTGTACATAAAGCCTTTTGTTTTTCTTTTGTTTTTCTTCGGTTTTGTTACCCCGGGATTGTTTGCTGTCAGTTGAGCGATTACACTGAAGGAATTTAAAACCAGCTGGTGTAGAACAAAACATTCATTTTTGAGTTGAACCTCCCCGAAGACGAGTTTGCGACCAGAGAAGTGCATGATAAACTAAAAACGCTGTCACAAAAATGGTCTTCCCCGGAGTAGAATTCCAGACTAATGGAATATCTTATTTAAGGTATGCTTGTGTTTAAATTAGTAGTGTTATTCAATGGTTTATCAGTATAGCATATGAAAATTTATAACAATTGGAGCGTGCGTTTAGCCCTTTAAATTTACTGTGATGATTCACAGCAAAAAGTTTGGCACGCGTTCTGAGGTAACAGAGAAATTTTCCTGTCCCATTAACCGTTTTTAATATATTACTCCTCTTTGTAATGGAATTATTGATTATAAAATGATTTTGCTTGTTGAAGTTTGTGAAGCAGATTTCAGGGACAGGGTGTTGGGATCTTTTGTAAAATTAATGTCATGAAATTTACATGAAAAATGAACACGGAAGTCACGTGTCAGACAACAAACTCTTTGTCATGACAACAAAATATGGCGGCCCCGAAATAGTGTCGTCACGTACATTCAACTAGATTAAACCTTGAAAATCACACCAAAAGGGGATCAGTCAAGTTAGATCAAAAGATGGCTGGCATTTATGTTGGATAATGTTTTAATCTGTGTAAATTTTTGATCGAATTTTACAGTCCAGGTGAATTCATGATGGCAAGGAACGGAAAAGTTCATCCGATCGCGGTGGGCAAAGGGGACTTCGATCGTGGTCGTGATTTAGAGATGAACCACATAAATCACGTCGAAAGCTCCAGGAGGAAAGGTTCACAAGAAAACTGGAAGTTTGTTTCAAGAAAG